TTTTTATTAAGTACATAAATATGTAAATGTATTTGTAGTAGACTTGGCATGAAATTAATGTATTTCAAGTACATTTTAGTATATTTATTTTTCACTAGGGTGCTCTTTATTGTTGTCTATCCTTGTTCTCAGGCGATTACGCTGGCTTTCCCGGCTGTGGCCTTCTCCGTCTGCACAGCACATACAGGCATGACCTGAAGATATACGCCTCTGATGAAGGACGCGTTCAGATGACTGCTGCAGCGTTTGCTAAAGTAGCACGACCACCTTTATTTTCTCCATTGGATTGTAAATATAAAAGATTAAGTGGTATCAAAGTAATTTATTAAAACTACAGTTGTAAGTGTATCAACCCTTTTTTAATGCTTTATACAATTCAAAGCAGCTTCAGGGAAGTAACAGATTCAGTGATGCCAACTTCATCAAATATGAGACAAATTCAAATGTAAAGCTATTCTAAAAAGACAAGATTGCCATTATGGAGTGCAATAACAGTGAAGTTTATCAGTTATGATGCAAGTTCAGTTCAGCTATAAACAGCTCTACTGAAGACGATGGTGTAATTTTTCCGCTCAAGTCAAGTTAATTCAGTGTTGATTCAGTTCAGTTCAATAACATGCTGCAAAATTTGACAATTATGAAACTAAATAGATTCGGCTATAGAACAGCTCTACAAGAATACATTAGTGTCTTCCACCTCAATTCTACAAGTATTTAAATGGTTAATGATCTAAAAAAAAATTATATAGTTAATGTGTTCCTTTTATTAATTAAAAAATAGTTTGGGAGGGTTTTGGAGAGAGAGTGCAGAATTAAACTTTTAATGTGTTAGTAAAGAATGTGTTACATGAAGATATTTTGTAAATTTCCTACCATAAATATATCACAACTTAATTTTTGATTAGTAATATGCATTGCTAAGGCCTTCATCTGGACAACTTTAAAGATGATTTTTTTTGCATCCTCAGATTCCAGATTTTCAAATAGTTGTGTAAGATACCACTACCACGATTAGTTTTAACAATATGCAGCAACTTTATATCGACATGAAAATATTATTTAAAAACCGCCCAAGTGTATTGTAGCAGCAAATTTAAACCGGAGAAAGCTTTGACATGCTATAGCGGCGCTTCATGCGTAAGAGACCGTCTGACAATTCTACCGATTGGGTTTAAAACGTCCAATGTATTTTAACTAACGTGACTTTTAACATTTAAAATAAAACATTGCCAAACTGTAAAGCGTGTATAACTCATAGGGATTTACTACAGGTGGGATTTTGACAATGCCTTCCTTCATATATGCAGTACAGTACAAAATTATGTTCATAAAAAACTACTGTAAGTACCCAAACGGCTGTTCATTACTGTTGCTTACATTACTAGTGTCCAGACTGACTGACTTACTGTACATACAGTACATAATTATTCTTAGAAAAAAGTACTAAAATTCCAATAGTACATTCCTAGTTACAATGCTAACTTACTATAGGTGAAATTTTACCAATGCGTCCTTTACTGTATGTACAGTACACAAATATTTTGACAATTATAGCAATTTACCAATTTTTTCCCCACACTCCAAAGGTTGTGGTACATTCCTAGATACAAGACTGACTTACTACACATGTCATTTTATATGTCTCTTACTGTACATACAGTACATAGTTATTCTTAGAAAAAAGTACTAAAATTCACCAAAAAGGTTTTTCATGTTCCAAAGGCTGTAGTAAGTTTGTAGTTACAAGACTGACTTACTACAGGTGAGATGTTGCCAATATCTGTCTTACTGTAGATATAGTACTTAATTATTCTTAGAAAGAATTACTGTAATTCACTAAAGTGTTTTTTTTTCATGTTCCAAAGGCTGTAGTATGTTTGTAGATACAAGACTGACTTACGACAGGTGAAATTTTGCCAATATCTTCCTTACTGTATGTACAGTACACAAATATTTTTATGAAAAAATTACTTTAATTCTCCAAATGTTTTTTTTAATGTTCCAAAGGCTGTAGTACGTTTGTAGTTACAAGATTGACTTACTACAAGTGAACATTTGCCAATATCTCCCTTACTGTACATAGTACATAATTATTCTTAAAAAACAATTACTGTAATTCAACATAAGGATTTTTTCCATGTTCCAAATGTTGTAGTACATTCCTAGTGGCCAAACTGACTTACTACAGGGGAAAGTTTGCCAATATCTCCCTTACTGTACGTACAGTACATAATTAATCTTAGAAAACAATTACTGTAATTCAACAAGGGTTTTTTCCATGTTCCAAAGGCTGTAGTACGTTTGTAGTTACAAGACTGATTTACTACAGGTGAAATTTTGCCAATTTCTTTTTTACTGTATGTACAGTACATAATTATTCATAAAAACAATTACTGTAATACTGTACATTGTTTTTAAGAATAATTATGTACTGCATGTACAGTAAGGGAGATATTGGCAAAATTTCACCTGTAGTTAGTCAGTCTGGCCACTAGTGATGTACTACAACATTTGGAACATAAAAAAAAACCTTTTGGTAAATTATAGTAATTTTTAAAAGAAAATAGTTGTGTACTGTACATACAGTAAGGGAGATATTGGCAAAATCTAACGTGTAGTAAGTCAGTCTGGTCACTACAAACGTACTACAACCTTTGGAACATAAAAAAACCTTTTGGTGAATACAGTAATTTTTTAATAAGAATAATTATCTACTGTATGTACAGTAAGGGTGATATTGGCACAATTTCAGCTGCAGTAAGTCAATCTGGCCACTAGTGATGTACTACAACATTTGGAACATAAAAAACCCTTTTGGTGAATTTCAAGTATTTGTTTCCGAAAAATAATTGCACTATGTACAGTAAGGGGGATATTGTAAAAAAATTATTCACCTGTAGTAAGTCATTCTTGTAACTACAAACGTACTACAGCCTTTGGAACATGAAAAAAACATTTTGGTGAATTACAGTATTTTTTTCCTAAGATTAATTATGTACTGTATGTACAGTAAGGAAAGTATTGGCAAAATTTCACCTGTAGTAAGTCATTCTTGTAACTACAAACGTACTACAGCCTTTGGAACATGAAAAAAACATTTTGGTGAATTACAGTATTTTTTTCCTAAGATTAATTATGTACTGTATGTACAGTAAGGAAAGTATTGGCAAAATTTCACCTGTAGTAAGTCAGTCTTGTAATATGTACAAACTACAAATGTACTTCAACCTTTGGAACATTAAAAAAAAAAAACTTTTGGTAAATTATAGTAATTTTTAAAAGAAAATAGTTGTGTACAGTAAGGGAGATATTGTCTATGACGACATATTGGTTAAATATTTTCTGTCAGTTTGCCCACAAGGCATTTACTATGGCGTTGTAAACATAATTTGTATCAATTATTGGACTTCGTTTTGTACTGAGAGGTAAATTTGCAGACGGTCCCTAAATATATCCAGTGAATATCAAACCTAAAACTAACTTTACCGCGCTCATAGACGTGCTTGATTTTTTTTGTATTCGAAGAAATCAAGTTCGTTGCAAGCCACTCAACAATTGGTTTGCCTAGACGTGACACTCTAACAATTAATTGTGGAAAAAGACAATTAGCTTCATATTTTATTCATATATGCATGTATGATGTTTGAGGACATGCATGTGATGCGTGTTAATAATAGCATGTTAATGAGGGCTTTGGATTTGTAGGATCCTTCATCAGAGGATCGTTTCCATGTGGAGCTTCATTTCAGTCCAGGAGCTAAAGGCTGTGAAGAAGATAAAAACCTGCCATCTGGATTTGGATATAGACCAGCATCTAGAGAGGTTTGCAGTGACTAATGGCTGCTGTTATGTGTGTGTGTGTGTGTGTGTGTGTGTTTTTCCCCTGTAATTTATTCTATGCATTTCATTTCCTCTTCCTGGGTTTGGGTGGAGTTGGTGGCTAAAGACAGATTCCATCTCAATTAAGAGTTGCTATTTACAGTAAATACATGTTTTCATTTGCAGCATTTCTAAGTACCATATATATATATTTTTTTTACAAATCTGAAATTCTCGAATGCACTTAAATGTTGAATGTGTCTCAGAATGAGGGCTCCAAGAAGAAATCCCATAATGACAGTGATGAGGAGGCCGGTGGTGCTAAACGTGACGAGCCGGATCGAGCTCTGATGATGTTCCGCCCCATGGTGTCCGATCCCATCTACATCCACAGGAAGTCCCCTCTTCCCCGCTCCAAAAAGATCGGCTCTGTGGAAGTAAGTTCTTACACAGTATGTTATCATAAAAAGGGTCTCAAAACACTTTCAAATTAATCAAATTGTTCACAGTTAATCACTATTATTCTCTGATAATAGTTGAAATTTCTTATGCATGTATGTACAAATATAGATGCTGCATATGTATATTCTACACATATGAGCTTTGACAGGGACAGTCATGAATTCAGGAGATAAGGCGCATTTACACAGACTTCACATTTTACAGCAAATTTAAAGGGGACATCAGATGCAAAATTCATTTTTACATGTTGTTTGAACTGAAATGTGTGTTGCCAGTGTGTGTACACAACCACCCCTATAATGATAAAAATCCACCCAGTTATTTTTTTTTTTAATCACCACAAATGATAAGCTCTTTCTCAGATCAAGCTGTTCACAGATTCTTAGCTGTGTGATGTCACACTGACCCAGGCCCCTCCCACTGTTGATTGACACTAGCGTTTTACCTTAGCTCCGCCCTGAGTGAGCTGTCATCAGTCCTCCATTGTTTCACCGCCGGAGCAGATGTAGACAAGAATGACTCCTAAGCGATTGAGGTGTTTTGTTGTTGGATGTAGTAATGAATATAGCAGTCGTCATTTACTCCCGACATCTGAGCCGCTGAAGACGCAGAGGAATAGCTTTGTTTGTGAAGGGAATGCGCCCCCGATCTGCCTAAATGCGTCTGTTCGCACGAATCATTCGTGATCCAGCTTAACCTACAGAAGAAGTAAGTTTAAGGTTTTTTTTATTTTAATGAATCTTTGCAAATCGCCTTTCCTAATAATGTGCTAGTTAGCAAGTTCCGCGGCTAAAGTAAACAGTCAGTGTTGCCAGATTGGAAGGATGATTTCCAGCAAAAAAAACTCACAAAAACCGCCCAAAACTTTAACTGTCGAAATAATATGATGGAATATGTAAATCAAGGTTGATAAGGGCCATTTTTAACTCCTTAAAACAAAATAATGACGACAAAATAATATAAATATAACGTTAGATCCATTTCCCAGGTAAACGGATCAAATAGCCTACATTAAAGAGAATTAGGCTACCGAACATTAATAAAATATGCAAGCAGACACTGTCAAAACGGCAATCAAGAAATTAACCGATACCCTCGAAACAACACATGCATCATTTTCAGTGTCAGCAGTCAGAATAATCTAATTTTAATCTGGACCGTTTAAAAGATAAAAGACAGGATCGTATAAACTGACATATTTAGTTTCGGTTTTGATTAATTAATTCAGATGTGCCTTTCCTAATAATGTGCTAGTTAGCAAGTTCCGCGGCTAAAGTAAACAGTCAGTGTTGCCAGATTGGAAGGATGATTTCCAGCAAAAAAAACTCACAAAAACCGCCCAAAACTTTAACTGTCGAAATAATATGATGGAATATGTAAATCAAGGTTGATAAGGGCCATTTTAACTCCTTAAAACAAAATATTGACGACGAAATAATATAAATTATAAATAAGATACATTTTGCAGGTAAACAGATCAAATCGGGGCGAATAGCCTACATTAAAGAGAATAGGCTACCGAACATAGTACCGAAGACAGTGTCAAAATGGCAATCATGAAATTAACCGATGCCCTCGAAACAACACATGCATCATTTTCAGTGTCAGCAGTCAGAATAATCTAATTTTAATCTGGACCGTTTAAAAGATAAAAGACAGGATCGTATAAACTGACATATTTAGTTTCGGTTTTGATTAATTAATTCAGATGTGCTCTGATTTCGGAGTTGCAGTGATAGAGCCTTCGTGTCATCTCCACAATAATTGACGTTTTGAGACTTGAGTCACTCTCCCACTCTTTAACTTATATCTAGGCATTGTGATTACTTGAATATACAGTCATACATTCAAAATCAGATACGTTATAACTTATCACGCTAAAAACCTGTCACTCACGAATCATAACGTCTGTCTGCTGAGCCCTCGTGATAAGTGCGGCTGTCGACGTTTACATCAGCACCAGCGCCTCTGCAGTGTGTGTGTGTTTAGTAACGTTGTGGTGACTGATTGGATGCAGTACATGCATACTTTGGCTTGTTTGTTAAACAATTAGCCTATACAATTTATATGTTTGAAAACCGCCAAACTGACCCCAAATTTTGTCCACCCGCCCAAACCAATTTTTACCTGCACAATCAAATTCAAAACCGCCCAATCTGGCAACACTGTAAACGGTCTCATGAGAACAGCTCGTCACCCCACAGAAGAAAGGGGTGAGGTCAGCAGAGCTCATTAGCATTTAAAGAGACATGCACCGAAACGGCTTGCTGTGAACAGAGCTGTTTTTGACAGGGTAAAAGGGTGTTGTTTTACACTACCATTGAGAAATTTTAACCAAAATATTATAGAATTTTCATAAAGACCCTAAAGAATCATATTAACTTGTGGAAAATGGGCATCTGATGTCCCCTTTAAACGAAACAATGCTCGCTATGTAGTGCGACAGCACATTTTTTGTGCTCCACATAAGTGTGTGTGTGTGTGTATATATATATGTATACATACATACATACAGAGAGAGAGAGTTTTTTGAATGAATGAATTGGCTTCATTAGAGAGATGCTATACAGACTCAGTAACCATGTATGCCAGACTATTGTAAATAATACCAATTAAAATACGACTTTAATAGATTTAATTGATTTAAGAAATTCAGTTACACTTTGCAGTAGCGTTTTAGTTGTTAACATTGGTTAACATGAACTAACAATAAGCCATATGCTTTTTTTTATAGTAGTTAGTTTATAATAAATACAGGTGTTAACTGTTTTTTTTTGTTTGTTTTTTTTGTTCATAGTGCATTAACTAATGTTAAACATATACAACTTTTGATTTTAAAAATGTATTAGTTAAAATGGACATTAATATGAATTCTATAAAACTATTGTTAATTGTTAGTTCATATTAACTAATGTTAACAACTAATAACTAACTGTAAATTAACAGAAATTCTTATGACCAAATCTGTTTGTATAAAAAACTGATTTCAAGCATTCAAGTATAAGCTTTAAATTAAAAGGTTGTTAAAAACAAAGAAATGCAGTGTTTCAAACTTTTTGCTGGTAGTGAATGTGCTGTGCATAGCTAGAATCATATATGTTTTTTAAAAACATCTTTTACGTTGCTGTGGCATTCACATTATGTAGGGACGTGAACAAGTGCTTGCAATTTTCTCTCTTCATGTGAATATGCTTTTATATGTCCTTAACTTTTAACGTGCCAAAGCCTTCTTTTCACTTTCAGTTTCTGTCCATTTGAATTTTGTTTTTAGTAATCAATTTGATGTTTCTGTATTTTGTTTTTTTTAATGCATGTCATTTTAAGGTATCTACATTTTCTCAAAATGGGAGCAAAATACCATGTTGTTGTTCTGGGTCTACAACTATACAACTGTAGTATTACATAGTTTAAAATATAATAACAGTGATTTTGTCATCAAACGTAGAACACTGTCAAAACGGCAATCAAGAAATGCATCATTTTCAATGTCAGCAGTAAGAATAATCCAATTTAAATGCAAAAAGTGCCCAATATAAGTGATTGGAAAAAGCAACGTAATTAGCAGGTATTTCACACTCGTTCATGCACACACCACGACAGTCAAAACTGTCATTCATTGATACATAGGCCTACTGAATTATAATACAATTTAAAAAACAACAACAACAATAATGCGCTTACCTTCGTGTCGCTCTATAATTTTACACAGAACTAGAGGAAGCCTCTTGTTAAGTTCATATTGTAGAACATAATACAGAGCTCTGCACAGTCAAAACTAATCAAGTCTAGCAGTTTTCAAGGATTTATCAATCTGGACCATTTATAAGATAAAAGACAGGACCGTATAAACCGACATATTTAGTTTCGGTTTTGATTAAGTAATTCAAATGTGCTCTGATTTCGGAGTTGCAGTGATGGAGCCTTCGTGTCATCTCACTCTCCCACTCTTTAACTTATATCTAGGCATTGTGATTACTTGAATATACAGTCATACATTCAAAATCAGATACGTTATAACTTATCACGCTAAAAACCTGTCACTCACGAATCATAACGTCTGTCTGCTGAGCCCTCGTGATAAGTGCGGCTGTCGACGTTTACATCAGCACCAGCGCCTCTGCAGTGTGTGTGTGTTTAGTAACGTTGTGGTGACTGATTGGATGCAGTACATGCATACTTTGGCTTGTTTGTTAAACAATTAGCCTATACAATTTATATGTTTGAAAACCGCCAAACTGACCCCAAATTTTGTCCACCCGCCCAAACCAATTTTTACCTGCACAATCAAATTCAAAACCGCCCAATCTGGCAACACTGTAAACGGTCTCATGAGAACAGCTCGTCACCCCACAGAAGAAAGGGGTGAGGTCAGCAGAGCTCATTAGCATTTAAAGAGACATGCACCGAAACGGCTTGCTGTGAACAGAGCTGTTTTTGACAGGGTAAAAGGGTGTTGTTTTACACTACCATTGAGAAATTTTAACCAAAATATTATAGAATTTTCATAAAGACCCTAAAGAATCATATTAACTTGTGGAAAATGGGCATCTGATGTCCCCTTTAAACGAAACAATGCTCGCTATGTAGTGCGACAGCACATTTTTTGTGCTCCACATAAGTGTGTGTGTGTGTGTATATATATATGTATACATACATACATACAGAGAGAGAGAGTTTTTTGAATGAATGAATTGGCTTCATTAGAGAGATGCTATACAGACTCAGTAACCATGTATGCCAGACTATTGTAAATAATACCAATTAAAATACGACTTTAATAGATTTAATTGATTTAAGAAATTCAGTTACACTTTGCAGTAGCGTTTTAGTTGTTAACATTGGTTAACATGAACTAACAATAAGCCATATGCTTTTTTTTATAGTAGTTAGTTTATAATAAATACAGGTGTTAACTGTTTTTTTTTGTTTGTTTTTTTTGTTCATAGTGCATTAACTAATGTTAAACATATACAACTTTTGATTTTAAAAATGTATTAGTTAAAATGGACATTAATATGAATTCTATAAAACTATTGTTAATTGTTAGTTCATATTAACTAATGTTAACAACTAATAACTAACTGTAAATTAACAGAAATTCTTATGACCAAATCTGTTTGTATAAAAAACTGATTTCAAGCATTCAAGTATAAGCTTTAAATTAAAAGGTTGTTAAAAACAAAGAAATGCAGTGTTTCAAACTTTTTGCTGGTAGTGAATGTGCTGTGCATAGCTAGAATCATATATGTTTTTTAAAAACATCTTTTACGTTGCTGTGGCATTCACATTATGTAGGGACGTGAACAAGTGCTTGCAATTTTCTCTCTTCATGTGAATATGCTTTTATATGTCCTTAACTTTTAACGTGCCAAAGCCTTCTTTTCACTTTCAGTTTCTGTCCATTTGAATTTTGTTTTTAGTAATCAATTTGATGTTTCTGTATTTTGTTTTTTTTAATGCATGTCATTTTAAGGTATCTACATTTTCTCAAAATGGGAGCAAAATACCATGTTGTTGTTCTGGGTCTACAACTATACAACTGTAGTATTACATAGTTTAAAATATAATAACAGTGATTTTGTCATCAAACGTAGACTTACCCTAACTTTCATATTTTTTTCTAGCTCCATATCACTCATAGTTAGACAGAGCATTGCTTTAGTTCAGCACGCTTATTAGTTTAGCCCAAGTGAAATTATCAACTGTATGTTTCTACTACATTTTTCCAACTAATCTATCTTCCCATCTGTGATTTATTACACTAAATAACCAAATAATCAAAGCCCATGTTTCTGTAATGATGAGAAAATTATTTATAGCTATCATTTTACCATGGTCTGTCTGAATACTCTTTTCTGATTGGCTGAGATGTGTGCGTTAAATCACTCTAATGCACAAGTAGTTCTGTTCTAAATTAATGCATAAGTTCAATGAAGCACACGCATATAGACGGTCGCTCGCGCACACCGCAGCATTCGGGAGCATCATTATATTTCTCAGCAGCAAAGTGGTAACATGACTGGATTTGAAGTAATTAAACGCACAGCTAGTAGAGAGAGACGCTGCACGAATGCAGATCTTTCTTTCAGAAACATTCAAATAAATGTAATTCTCCCGCTGTACACTGCTTAGCTTCAGATGGTGTGCATTAGAGTCATTTCATGCACAGCTAGCCATGGATCATGCCTTTATTTAATGAGATACGAAGAAAAGTTGAAAAGTGATAGATTTGATCAAAATTGAGTTTTACAATGCAATTTATTGGTTGATCAGAGTTAAGTAAAAGCTAGTTAACCCAAAAATTAAAATTCTGTCATCATTCTGTTTCATGTCGTTTCAAACCTGTACATTTTTTTTCTTCTGTGGAACACAAAAGAAGGTATTAAAAAAAAAAAAAAAATTCAATAACAGGAATTGTTCACCAAAATTGAAAATTGCATGCACCCACTGTCATGTTATACACTCTCAGAACAAAAGGTACAAAAGTTGTCACTGGGGGGTGGTACCTTTTCAAAAGGCACACCTTTGTACCTAAAGAGTCCATATTAGTACCTAAAAGGTACAAAAGTGTACCTTTTGAAAAGTTTCCACCCCAGTGACAACTTTTGTACCTTTTGTTCTGAGAGTGTATTATGACTTGACGGTATTATTGTACAGTGTGACATGAAAATGATAAAATATTAATATCATGCGATATTGTTTCAAGCATTCAGCTTTCATTCAACTTGGGCCGGCTAGCAGCCTTGTAGCGTGTATATATTACTTTGCATGTCTTTCATATTTCAATTCAAAGCTTCTCTCACCACAAATGTGTATTATTTTGAAAACTGCCACCGTCTCTTATTTGTTTTCTTTTTTTAGTCCCCATTGCAGAAAGACTTTCTCAAGACGCCTGCTGGCAAAGTATGAGCACTCTTAGCTGTGTTTGTCTTCTGTTGAGCCAAATTCCTTGGTAGTGAATGTTGGTGGACTCGACACCGGACTGTTGTTAACGTTGCATGACTGTGCTGTTTCTGCCCCCTGTCTCACTTCCAGGAAGAGAGCCCCCTGAGTGTGTCTAGCCCTGACTCTATAGGTACCTGGATTCATTACACCTGTGGTGTGGGTACTGGGCGTCGAAGACGCAGATCAGGGGACCAAATAACTTCCTCCCCAGTCTCCCCCAAATCACTGGCTTTCACATCCAGTATTTTTGGCTCATGGCAACAGGTTTTTACCAATTTAATTCATTCTTCACACCAACCACTAACGTATTGTTCATTCACACTCAAGATTTTGGCGGCGGTCAGCAAGGACACCTAATAAGCAGATGAATTAAAAGAGAGCACTATTACCTCATTCATCATGTGTTTAGTTGATATTTAATGCACTGGTTTGTGTTCTGGAATATCAGCGTTTCAGTCCGTTTTACCAGTTTTGGTCTAGTAACAGTGTCTTTGAAGAAGACAAAGACGTGGTCTTTGCGTGTCCATATAAACCATGTTTTTGTTCTAAACATATGAAAACTAACTTATCTCCATTGACTGTGAGTAGTACTACATTTTGTGGTTCATTATATAGACAAAAATATCCATTAATGTCACAACACCGAATACACAGTCTTTGTTTTTACAGACCAATGGTTTCTCAGTTTTGCTTTAAAGTCAACACGAAATTAAGATTTGCAAAAAAAAAAAAGTTAATTTCTTGATGCATGTTCTTTACCTTGGTGTGTATTATTCATCAGTGTATTTCACTCCAAAAAAATCACATTGGCCACCCAGCTAAATAGATTAGTCTTTGTTTTTGGATATTATTGTAGGTGGTACACTTTTCATATCGGGGGATTCTCGCCAAAAGTTAATTGTTAATAAATAATCACTTTTAGTATGTGTGTACGTAAAAATCCTAGCAGTAATAGAACATGAGAATGAACTTTTACAATTGTAACATGCTCTCCAAAGTGAATTTTTGTGTATCTGAAGCACTTTTTCTGCATTTGGTTTTTCAGGAAGGGGGTAGTCCTCCAAAATGCACTGGTTTTGAACAGCTATGTTTCAACATGCAGTTAATTCCTGATGGATAAACTCAAGTCTTGCCCCACACTTTTTTTTCCCTCATTGAATGTCCTCAGAAATACATAATTTTAAGGAAGTAAAATGGGTTGCAAATGCCATTTCAGGTTGACTTCAAATTCTGCTTTATTTATGCATACTAATGTTATTATTATCATCATTCTTATTTATGAGACTGATTAAATGTAACCTGAATGTCATACCATGTCGAAAATAAATACCGGTTTGTCTGCATTTTTGTTATGAGAAAAGATACTTTTTTTTAGCCTTTGCTGCTTTTTCAGACCATAAACTAAAAATCTCATGATAACTTTTCCGTATTTTATTGTTCTCTCTTCACCAATCTGCTGTCTTTATCCATGTTTAGCCTGGTAACTCTCAACTCTTTTCATTCATCTGCTGTGCCATTAGCTGTCCTTTGCATCCTGCTCCATTTCAATAATGACAAAAACTTGATTTGACCTGTGGGCTGCTGTGGGATGTGTGTTACTGATATCATGTATGTATCAGGTGGACTTTTGCTTGTCACTCATCTCTTCCAGGACAGACGTTTGCCTCCGCTTTAGCTCTCATTGGTCCCTGTCCTCAGCCAGATCTTCATTTCTTGTTTTTACAGTTCATTAGGAAGCTCTTAATAAGAGTATAAACACATATGGTGTTGTTTACCCATTTAGTGAGCTTTTTATGTTTTACAATAATTATAACCCACATGTTATAATTATGCTTGTGTCTTTGTTTTGCAGCATATTATTGCTTGGTCAGGTTGTTCCATGTCAGTTTTCCTGTCATTTGTACACAACATTATAACAAAGTGGGAACCTCGTTCAAGTACTTAACACACACGTGGAAGATGGCGGCACAGTTTAACTCAAGTTTTCAACTAAATAAAGTGGCTCAAAGACACTTTAGGCACACTTAAGAATGTCATTGTTATACAAGAAAACAAAACATAATTGACACTGGAGTCTTTGGAGAGTAACTGTAGATACAGTATGGTTCATCAAACATACAGGTGCATCTCAATAAATTAGAATGTCGTGGAAAAGTTCATTTATTTCAGTAATTCAACTCAAATTGTGAAACTCGTGTATTAAATAAATTCAATGCACACAGACTGAAGTAGTTTAAGTCTTTGGTTCTTTTAATTGTGATGATTTTGGCTCACATTTAACAAAAACCCACCAATTCACTATCTCAACAAATTATAATATGGTGACATGCTAATCAACTCAAAACACCTGCAAAGGTTTCTTGAGCCTTCAAAATGGTCTCTCAGTTTGGTTCACTAGGCTACACAATCATGGGGAAGGCTGCTGATCTGACAGTTGTCCAGAAGACAATCATTGACACCCTTCAAAACTTTCCCACGACATTCTAATTTATTGAGATGCACCTGTAGACATGCATGATCATTATTTCAGATGCTTTTTGTGAAGCGTGTTATCTTGTAAACAAAACCTTTCAGATAGGTTGAAGTTGCTTTGATATGCACTAACATTCAAAAGTTTGGGATCAGTAAGATTTTTAATGCTTTTTAAGAAGTTTCTTTTGCTCATCAAGGCTGTATCTATTTGATCAAAAATACAGAAAAAACTGTACTTTTGTGAAATATTATTGTCATTTAAAATAACAGTTTTCTTTTTTAATATACTTTAAAATATAATTTATTTCTGTGATGCGCAGCTGTATTTTCAGCATCATTACTCCAGTCTTCAGTGTCACATGATCTTCAGAAATCATTCTAATATGCTGATTTATTATCAATGTTGGAAAATTTAATATTTTTTAAATATTCTTTGATAAATAAAAAGTTCAAAAGAACCGTGTATATTCAAAATATAAATGTTGTGTCACAACATAGACTATTATTCAAAAATTTGGGGTCAGTAAATTTTCATTATTTCTTTTTTTTTTTTTTTAGAAATTTATACTTTTATTCAGCAAGGATGTGTTAAATGGATTAAAAAGTGATAGTAAAGACTTCTCTTCAGTGTCACATGATCTTCAGAAATCACTCTAATATGCTGATTTATTATCAATGTTGGAAAATTTAATATTTTTTTAATATTCTTTGATAAATAAAAAGTTCAAAAGAACCGTGTATATTCAAAATATAAATGTTGTGTCACAACATAGACTATTATTCAAAAATTTGGGGTCAGTAAATTTTCATTATTTCTTTTTTTTTTTTTTTAGAAATTTATACTTTTATTCAGCAAGGATGTGTTAAATGGATTAAAAAGTGATAGTAAAGACTTCTCTTTTGAATAAATGCTGTTCTTTTGAACTTTTTATTAATCAAAGAATCAAAAAGTATCACAGCTTCCAAAAAAAATATGAAGCAGCACAACAGTTCCAACACTGATAAAATAAATCTGCATATTAGAATGATTTCTGAAGATCATGTGACACTGAAGACTGGAGCAATGATGCTGATGAAAATACAGCATCATAAAAAGCATATTAAAATAGGAAACCAATATTAGTAATTGCAATATTATTTCACAATCGTACTGTTTTTTTCTGTATTTTTGATCAAATAAATGCTGCCTCGATGACTCCATTAAAAACTTTAAAAGTCTTACTGATCCCAAACTTTTGAATGGCAGTGTATGACATAAAGACAGATTTTATGTGTGCCTGTGGCTATTGATACACGGGGCAACTTTTTGAGCAATTTTGCCAGACATCTTTTTTTGAGCACTGTTGCTTGGGCACTTTCCCATTGAGAATGGGTAACATATTTCTATCTGGACACTTTAGATCGGTCCTGTGTCTCACCTGGTTGCCTGTTGATGGCAGCACTGCCCAAAGCTGCCCCGTGTATCCTCAGCCGAAGTGTATTTTTATTGCCACTGTCTTCATTGACAATCCTTTTAGTTGAGAGCTAGGCTGAATCTGTGACTTGAGCTGTCAGGGTTTATAGAAAATCAAGATTGAATTTTAAAGCAAGAGAGCTCTTTTTTCTGTTTATTGTCCTCTCTTTTTTCCCCAATGTAGATTTCATAATTTTGATGTTTTGTTTGGTTTTGCATGAAACTGAAACGAACATTTTTAACAAAACTAACCGGGCTGTTTCCTGCTCTGTTGGGTTTTACATGAATGCGAACGCATATGAAATATGATTTGTTTGATTATACTCTATAAACTGTTGCCATGTTTGTCCTCATACCTTTCTGCATTCCTGATCTCATTTTCTGTTTCTGATATGGAATGAGTCTGTGTGGCAATGCTAAACGCATGGTCCATTTCTGTTCCTTCATGCTGGGTTTTTGTCTTGTTTTTGGTGTATAGACCTATGAACTCACATTTAAAGTGCTGCTTATTAACATCTGGAATATGCCTTCTGGACGGGTTGACGTTTTGTTAAGCAGTTATCGTTGTCTGCCTGTGCTCTTTCAGGTTCTGTCAGAGAACAACAGCCACAGCAGACCCAGCAGACTGCACCCGGATCTCAAGCTCACACCTGGAATAGGTAAGATGTCATATTTATCCACTGAACAGACACATGTTATAATATCCTGAATGCTGTTGGGTGTTCATTATGGAGGAGCTCTGACATACTGGTAGTACCGGTGTCCAAATAATGTTTTTAATAGACCTATGAACTCACATTTAAAGTGCTGCTTATTAACATCTGGAATATGCCTTCTGGACGGGTTGACGTTTTGTTAAGCAGTTATCGTTGTCTGCCTGTGCTCTTTCAGGTTCTGTCAGAGAACAACAGCCACAGCAGACCCAGCAGACTGCACCCGGATCTCAAGCTCACACCTGGAATAGGTAAGATGTCATATTTATCCACTGAACAGACACATGTTATAATATCCTGAATGCTGTTGGGTGTTCATTATGGAGGAGCTCTGACATACTGGTTGTACCGGTGTCCAAATAATGTTTTGCCGTTCCATTTCTAATCTCTGTTGTGTGTGATGTTGGTGTGGCTGCTCTCTCTTGATTCTTTCAAACTTAATGACCAATTAATTTGAGTCTGAATTGGGACTGAATGTGTAATTCTATCAGTGAGCTTAACTCTGAAACACACTGCTCTAAGATTTTTGCCACACAGCTGACTAATACAGTGCTGACTCTCATATATGCTTGTAATGTCCTTTGTGTGTTTGTAGGCCTACATACACAAACGCTCATGGTTCGCAGCATATACTTTTGCCTTGCTGTGTAATTATACATATTTGTAAAAGGACAGGTGACATGAAATGCTATTGGATGTCCTGCGGTGCTACACTCTAGATTAGGGCTGGGCGCTATGGGCCAAATCATATCAGTCGATATCTATAATTGTCACGATAAATGTCATATTTTTATTTCTTTCAAGTTTACAGGCAGATTCTTGCTCCCTAGTGAAAGTTGTAGAAACCAGACCATTAATTGTGGTTCGGTCAGAACATGACAAACACTTCACGTTTCTGAATTCTTTACACTTTTCCAGTCAGTGTTCCTTGATATAATACATATCTTCATAGAAAGATTAATTTCTTGGTTTCTGCATGTTCTAATGAGTAATATTGTTTCAAATCAAGACACAGGTTTGTGTTGCCTGATAATATTAATAATGCTACATTTTTTTTTGTCTCTTAGGAAATGCACATTTGACAGTAGTTGTAGCTTGAGTTGGGATGCAGATGTACGTGTTTATTATCAAAATATTCCCACTGTTTGAGTTTTATTACAATTAACTATTGGTCTTTCATAGTAGCATACATTTAGATCATAAAAACCACACCTCAATACCATAGTGAAAATGTATAGTTTCTAGATATTTGTATGAAAAACAGTAGTCTAAATTAATAATATAATAAAATTCTATACAAATACCGACATTTCTGACACAATACCAAGTTATTCGCATAAAAATTATATCGAACATTTATCGAACTCTTGTTACCGTTTTATCGCGGAAAATTATCTTGTGATAATCATGATTAGTGATTTATCGCCCAGCCCTACTCTACATGTATTTTATTCTATTTCTATTCTTTTATGGCTCATAGCAATTGATCATATTTTTTTATTCACTCAAAAAGAAGTCATTCATTTGTCATGCTGCAGGACAGTTTAAAAGCAATGAAGACAAAAGGTGCTTAAAATATGGTGACCAGATCTGGATCTAGGAAGTGCTCTTATATATTCATATACACTTCAAACTAAAATCCGGATGTTGTTTGGAGGGGAGAAGAAGCGCATGGACACGTTACCAAGAAAGAATGTTTTGTTAGTGACAATTTTGGCTGTGATCTTTCAAACTATTAAGCGCTTGTGTTGCTCAGGTTTTGCTTTGTGATGTGTGGATATCAAAGAATTGTTCATATTTTACAATTTAAAACAAGAGTGGTGAAAATTTGCTTAAATACTATAAAGGTTACGAGTTTTATTGTTGTTGTCAGCTGTTAAAAATGTCCATACATTCTGGTCATTCACAGCAATACAGATTGATTTGATTCGGTTCAGACTGATTCTACCATTCATTAAAATGTAACTGATATGACAGCAGTTGCAGTAAATTAATGCAATAAGCCCTGTGAAGCCGGGGTTTACAGTGAATTTATAACATCCCCCTTAGCTGTTATAAATTCACTGTAAACCACGGCTTCACGGGGCTTATTGCTTTTATAAAACAGTTATTCCGTATAAGTAGTTAGGTTTCACAAAATAAAGCAGAGCAAATAAAGTGTAATGATATAAATAAAAACACTATTCTTCCACCAAACAAAGTGATTGCCGAGCAACACACACAGAAGTAAACAAAGGTGTGTGTTTGTAGAGTAATTTACAACAGCTTCAAATGCGGCTCAACCAATCAGAACCAAGGACCAGAACTCTCCGTTTTATAATAGTTGGGTATAGTGCATTTTGTCAGTAATTGCTTGACATGTGACCGTAGCGTCTACTGGTCGCTGAGTGCTTTTTAATTTATACTCTTAAAGTGAGGACCTCTGAAGATCAGTTTGCCTCACTAGGTTGCCATGACAAAAGACATTACTGTCATTATGGGATGCTTTCAGTGAGGCTGCACTACTCATTCTGTGGCAAGAATCTTCTAGAAAAGCATGCTGCATGCATTGCGAGGTGTGTCTCTTGGAGCACCCGATTGCTGTATGTATCTTCTCTAACTCCCATCAGGGTCTCATTGCGCTGGCTTGTTTAGCACCATGGTGCTGGGTGGCTCCTCCAGCGCACCTAACCTACAAGATTACGCTCACGCACACCGTAAAAAGCTGACCTCCTCTGGCTTCTTAGATGGTATGTGCAAACACGCACACACACCTTCTAATGGTGAATCCCCGTCCCTGTTTTTAAGGAATCCTGGAGTCTTATCTGTGTTTTCAGTGTGAAGCGCCGGAGCTCGGGTCATTCTCAACTGGTTGCATTGAAATAATTATCTTTTTGTTGTTTTGCCCGTCTGCCCTGAGCGATGCATTTATGCTGCAAAATCTACAATACAGCAACCTCAGGGGAGAACTTGCACAATTGGTGGCTGACTAAATACTTTTTTGCCCCACTGTATATAAAAACTATAAGCTCTATTCATATACACCGTGTAGTTAAAATTGAACTAAATTAACTAAAAGCATTAAAATGAGAAATGAATGAATGAAAATTGTCATCATTTTACTCATCCTCATGCCCATTGTTCATCTAAGAAACAAACAAAAAATTTTTTGAATCCTGAGAGATTTCTGTAGCTACACTGAAAGTCCATGCGGCCAACACTTTATTTAAAATGGATTTAAAATATTCATTAAAACATGGTAAATGTAATCCAAATTAATCAAGCAGTTCAATCCATGTCTTGAAGAGAGACACTTTATATAATGAACACAATTTAATTTAAGCTTTAAATTTCCGTCATATTTTGGTGACAAACTTTTAGTAAATTTCACTAAGATTTTACAGTTCTGAATTTTGTACATTTTTTGTTTCAATTCAAAAGTTTTATCTGTGAAAAGCCAAAAACATCATTTTAGTCACTATTTGCAGCGGGAAGATTTTGAGTGCAACTATAATAATGCAACCAATGACTTAAAATCATGCTGACTTTGTAGCTGTTATTGGAGGAGAAATAGAAATCAACATCACTTTTATGTCCTTTTTTTTTGATAATTGGTACCTGCAAATGACTTTGTGGAAATCCGAGATGCCATGGCTAATTATTGTTGTGAATCAAGACTGTTGTAGATGTGTTCATGGAGCAGCAGTGCTGTTGTGGATCAGAAAAGAAAGCATAGCGACAATTATATCACTTTAACCTTAGATGCATGATCTAAAAAACCTTCATGAATGCATAATGGGGGCAAAATGACCTGTTTAGGATTAAGTGTTTTTTTTTCTCTTTCAATCTTTCAGTGTAATCAAATCGTTTAAGAATCTGATTATACACAAAGATCAGGTGTGTACGGTGATCACTAGTCTGTGCGCCAATAGCCGGGTTTCCATCCAAAGATGCGAATTTAACTTATGCGCAAAACTGGAATATCGCATAAAACATTTGCGAACAAGCACCGTTTCCATCCAACGAGTCAAAGAGAACAAAATCGTCACTTCCTGATAAACTGGCACTATAAATCACTAAGAAAAGTAGGAGAATATAATCATTTTCATATATAATAAATGACACATGCACATGCAGTCAGTGCTTTCGGAGGTGGATGCTGCTGTTTGGGAACGCAGTCGTGTAAGACATTTCTGCGAGGCAATTATACAGAAATACTTTGATGACAGACTTTGCTCTGGAATTTCTGAATGACCATAACAACATTTCAGATGCTTTTAATTTAAGCTTTAAATTTCCGTCATATTTTGGTGACAAACTTTTAGTAAATTTCACTAAGATTTTACAGTTCTGAATTTTGTAAATTTTTTGTTTCAATTCAAAAGTTTTATCTGTGAAAAGCCAAAAACATCATTTTAGTCACTATTTGCAGCGGGAAGATTTTGAGTGCAACTATAATAATGCAACCAATGACTTAAAATCATGCTGACTTTGTAGCTGTTATTGGAGGAGAAATAGAAATCAACATCACTTTTATGTCCTTTTTTTTTGATAATTGGTACCTGCAAATGACTTTGTGGAAATCCGAGATGCCATGGCTAATTATTGTTGTGAATCAAGACTGTTGTAGATGTGTTCATGGAGCAGCAGTGCTGTTGTGGATCAGAAAAGAAAGCATAGCGACAATTATATCATTTTAACCTTAGATGCATGATCTAAAAAACCTTCATGAATGCATAATGGGGGCAAAATGACCTGTTTAGGATTAAGTGTTTTTTTTTCTCTTTCAATCTTTCAGTGTAATCAAATCGTTTAAGAATCTGATTATACACAAAGATCAGGTGTGTACGGTGATCACTAGTCTGTGCGCCAATAGCCGGGTTTCCATCCAAAGATGCGAATTTAACTTATGCGCAAAACTGGAATATCGCATAAAACATTTGCGAACAAGCACCGTTTCCATCCAACGAGTCAAAGAGAACAAAATCGTCACTTCCTGATAAACTGGCACTATAAATCACTAAGAAAAGTAGGAGAATATAATCATTTTCATATATAATAAATGACACATGCACATGCAGTCAGTGCTTTCGGAGGTGGATGCTGCTGTTTGGGAACGCAGTCGTGTAAGACATTTCTGCGAGGCAATTATACAGAAATACTTTGATGACAGACTTTGCTCTGGCATTTCTGAATGACCATAACAACATTTCAGATGCTGTGAATGAGATCGGTCCGCTGGTTAGTCAGGTTTTGCCGTCCCATTGCGCAAAGCATAGCTCTTGGAGGAATTTATTCGCAAGATGCATTTCCATCTCCCATTATTCGCATCAACCCTTTTTCAGGTCAAGTGAAAAACCACCTCAAGCGAGCGTGAAAACTTTTTTGCGAATTAAGGGATTTTTATTCGAAATTTGGCGTTTCCATCACTCGATTCTGATGCGATACTTCAAAATGCGCGGTAGAATAGGGTGATGGAAACATAGCTAATGTCAGCTGACCCCTGAATCAAGTTTCCATTCATTTATATCCATTTGGTGTAAGAAAGTATGCAGGTTTTGTTTCAGCAAGCGCTGTTGCGTGGCCAGTGCATTACCGTGCTGAACCTAGAGAGTCACGATGGGTGAACTGGGGTCTTCTGTATTTAATGGCTCTGGGTATTTGTGTGTGTTAATGCAAGATCCATTGGCAGCGTAACCAACCTTTTGCCGTGGCGTTCAGAGAAGGGCCCTGCCATAAAACTGTGGATTTAACGTAATGCTGTTTACCTAAACATCTTGCACAAAGATTTCTGCCTTTTGACATTTTACACCGTTTAATGGCCTGAGACCATTACCAGTCACACGTTTGAACGTGCCTATTCCTTCAACATTTACTCCAAACTATTGACTGATGTGAAATATGAAAAACCAAACTTTAAGTAATCAATGGAGTGTAAATTAATTCTATTTATTACTAGTAGTAGTCGTAGTAGTATGCTAATACTGACAAAAACACTATGGTGAGTTAAAATTCAATATGAAGTGTCGACAGTTGATTTTGAAGCCGTTTACAAAGACTTGGCATAGTGATACAAAATGTAGTCTTTCTTATGTGACACCTGTGGCCAATTAGGCGAGCTGCAGTCTTCTGCTGACTAGCTCTATGTGTCAATTTAACCCCCATTATGCATTCTAGGGTTAATACTTAATCTTGAACGGAAAGAAGAGGTTTCATATTGAAAAGCGGAACGTTTTTGTTTGTTTGATTTTTATTTAAAAAAATGTAATCACTATCCCTAGGGCTGTCCGAACACTTAACACAAGCACTCCTCTACTTTTCCTCTGCGTCTTTCCGGCATGACTCTTGCCTTCTTTAGCCCTTCTTTAACCCTCTTTCTGTTAGCTCTTATACATTTCAGGTACCTGTTTTTCTCTTTCTCAGAGGCTACGCGTGGTTCTGCTGTAAAAAGATTTTCTATCTCATTTGCGCGACACCCAACCAATGGTATGTTTGCTTTTGTAAATTCCCATGTCTTCCCCTCACATTCAGTTTTTGAGTTTTTTTATTATCTGTTCTTCTGGATATACAGTTCCTCCATCAACCGCAGAACAGGGAATATGACCGTTATTAATTTTATTTTCTCTTTCTCAGAGGCTACGCGTGGTTCTGCTGTAAAAAGATTTTCTATCTCATTTGCGCGACACCCAACCAATGGTATGTTTGCTTTTGTAAATTCCCATGTCTTCCCCTCACATTCAGTTTTTGAGTTTTTTATTATCTGTTCTTCTGGATATACAGTTCCTCCATCAACCGCAGAACAGGGAATATGACCGTTATTAATTTTGGAGGACTAAAAATACCCATTCAACACACCAGGAACCAACAGTTTATGTCTCCTCTGCACGGTGGTCTCTTTACATGGATTTCAAAGAGTTTGTTCCATCATCTGTTAAAAAGGGAATTTGGCATATTTTGTTGTTACCTAATATTTGCTTGTTTATTTGTGGCTGAATGAGCTAGTTCTTAGATACTGATGAAATATATTGAATTATCAGGTGATCAGCATTTGCTTCTCTTAGGCCTATTTAAATGATATGTATTTAATATAACACTTTTCATTTTAACCTGTTTATTTATCTGCATATTTTAGCTTTTCCCGTGTTTTCTGTATTTTCAGTTCCAAATTCTATAGTATGCACGAAACTTTGATCTGACAGAGTCACCAAAACAACCCAATAGCTGGGTTTGTCCATATTTTACCCAGCGCTGGGTTGTATTTAACCCAGCATTTTTTAGAGTGCATGCATTAAAGAGGAAATCAATGAATAGCTGTAATATAAAGCATTATTTAAAACAATTGTATCCCTGAATATTTATAACATAGTGTTTTATAGGTGGGTAAGATCTAAGATGATGTTTTTGGAAGTTTAGAAAATTGCCATTTTTAGCATATCATTTTTATTGTTTGTTTGTTTTGTTTTTTCCTTTAATCTGCTTTTCTAAATGGGTCAGTGTTTTCCAGTATGTTCAGTGGTAAGTGTTAATCATGCTTAATATACTCCTTCTATCCTGTCTAATTAGTGTTTGTTATTTTATGTTATCTCTGCTTCCCAAACTTGTTTAGTAAGTATTTAGATCTAGTCTTTATACCCCGTTCCGACCCTTACCAAACTCCAAGTCCACTATGATCTCTCCTATTAAATTAAAAAGAAAAAAATCAGAGTCCTATTTCATTTTCAACTTTATGTATCCACAAGGAAACTATCCTCTGAGCATTGTCTGTTTTTGGTTTATTCCTTGCATTCGCAGAAGGAAAAGTAACAAGTAAATGCTCATTTATATTTAAATTTTTTGAAATAATTGCAGAGACAATCTTCACATTTAAGACCTATTCTAAGTAAATCACCAAACCTATTCATTTGAACATTGTCTAGTATATGTTGGCTTATATTGTTGTGATTAGGTCTTCTTAAGATTTGTACTTCTTAAGATGCCTTTTCTTTTATTGTTAATAGGTTTTTTAACAACCTTAGCAAATCAATCTGGGTGTTAAGTAGGACAAGCATTTAAATACAAGTAGAAATAATCTAAATGTAATCAGTTCTATCTTTTATTTCAGTCCACAGTAAAATGCTAGTAAATCCACACTTATCATAAAAAATAATAATAATAATATTTTTTTTACTATGCACTTTTCTAATACCCAAAGTGCATTGCACATTATGTAAATGAACTGCTGCTTGGCAACCGTTAACAGGGTTAGGCTAATGAACGTGGTTATTTTGCTAAATGTAACCATTTATGACTGTTGGTGTCTTTTTATATTATATAACTGTTGCTGGTGTGTATTCATACGATAAACCATGAGAGACTGTGTGTTACAGTGGAATAATCACTGTAATGCATGGCCTCTCATTGCTTATTGCTTTTATTAGAACGATTCCTGAAGATTTATATTCAGACATCTTGTGCCAAATTGCATGATGTGAATATATCAAATCATAATCATGTTGTTTCACTAGTTTCATCTGAGAAATGAAAAAAAAAAAAAAAAGTATGCAAGGTAGGTCGATTATCATTTCCGCTTCATGAATTCATCTTGGCCAAGTGGTGTTTTTGGTAGATTGAAGGTATTGTGAGCTGTTCTTTGTGTGACCCATCTGCCCTCCATCCTGCAGACCTCAAACTCATGTTTGACGGTGTTGTTGCTTGTCACGTTCAGAGGAAATGGAACGCCATGTGTCCAAGATCTTAAGTTAGAGTTCATGCTAAATGACTATTCTAGCTGAAGATGTGTTTATGGTCTTGATTCTGATATTCTGGTATATTTCATTGAAGGTTTTGAGTTGTACTCCATGGTTCCTTCAATCTGCCCCTTGGAGACCCTCCATAATTCCCTGTCTCTCAAACAAGTGGATGACTTCCTCGCCTCCATAGCCATATCCCATGATCCAATACTGGAAATATCTGCATCCTCCCCAGGTACAGACACTGACTGCCACTGTACAATGTGTGTGGTTTACTGTACATTTGTCTTAACCGCTTTCTGTTTGTCGACCCTCAGCTGTGCCCTCAAAGAAGACTCCTTTGAACACTTACACTCCAGCAAAAGTTTTGCCCTGTCCTTTCACCCAGTCTCTTGGCAAGAAGACGTGCTCACCAGAGAAGAGTGCATCAGGCAAGTTGTATTAAATGCAGATATTGATGGTGAAATATTGGAACATATACAGTTAATTATTTAATGTATGTAAAAAAAAAAGTCCATTGAAAATGGATAGTCATTTCTGATTTATTAGGGTTCCCACAGTCATCGTGGAAAAACTTGAGAATATCAGTACATTTTATGCTTGCTATTGTTCCTGAAAAAGTAGTTGTACATTTTTTCTAGTTATGATCTAAAACAGGTCGGCAACGTTTTGGGCATGAAGTGCCCCGCCCCCCTTAAATGCATGATGTATTTATACAGTACACTGTATACAGTACAGTGAAAATCTACATTTCATTATACAAAGTTTCTGAAGCATTTTTTCCATAAAGTTTTTTAAACTTTTCAAACATTTCTTCATTTTAATGTTTAAATTAGACTTTGAATAACAGAATTACAATGTGACCCTGCTGAACACCACTGCATGTATGTGTGACAAGGCCAATTATGCTATTAAAGTTCACTTTAATGACCGTTCTATATTAATGCGCTGCTTTAATTGACGTGCACACACACACACACACACACACACACACACACACACACACACCACTCGCATACAGAGATCACAGATCGCGCTGCGCAAACCCAGAAACATTCAGGAGCACAGAAACCTGTTGTCAGTGCTGCCCCGCGACTTTTATTAATCGATACTGAATCACTACATTATTTCTCAGCAATGAGAGGATACAATCGCTGTTTTTGAAGCAACTAAACTCAGCTTCATTGTTTGTAGACTAATATTAAATGATTTGCAACGTCCATCTTTCCTTGCTTTCTTTCGACGTTAAACTTTGGCTTCCCGCTGGAATTTGTGCTCTGCTTCTGTGAACAGTAAACCCCGCCTACTTTGATTTGATTGGCCATCTTATTTATTCTGACATTGACATCTGTTAGACCGCTGAGGCATCGATCTAAAGCGCCTCGTTTGTGCAGCAATCGCGTGCGCATCTGTAGACTAGCCCAAGTTAATTCTCACTCTTTAATAGTGTTTATACGTTGCTCCTAACAGAATGATTACCTCAATATATGTCAGTATGCAGTTTTCCCTTTGCTGGCATGCCAGTAGCCGGGTTTCCATTCAAAGTCGTGTAAAATTCAAAGTCGGCAGTTGTACAGAAATACTTTGACAACAGACTTTACTCGGTTATTTCAGAATGATCATAACATTTCAGAGGCTGTGCAACAAGATCGTTCCGCTGGTTAGTCAGGTTTTGCCGTCCCATCGCGCAAAGTCACATGAATTATTTGATGCGCATGGAGGAATTTATTCGGCAAATGTTCGTTTCCATCTCCCATTATTCGCATCAACCCTTTTTCGCACAAGATTAAAAAACAACCCGTGTGAACGTAAAAACTTTTTTGCGAATTAAGGGATTTTTTTTCTCAAATTTGGCGTTTCCATCACTCGTTTCTGATGCAATACTTCAAAATGCGCATTAAAACACTTTTTAAAACATGCATTAAAGCATAAAAAAGTGCCCCTTTTAGACTTGCACTCTATTCATTTTCTAACTGCTTGTTTTCTTAAAAAAAAAAAAAACTAACTAGCTTGCTCTATTCTTTTTTTTTTTGTATTCTATCTATTTAAAAATAAAAAATGTTTTTTATATATAATTAAAAAAACCTTGCTACGTGTACTGCATTAAGCTAACTGAGACTTGTTATAGCACTTGCATATCATTGCTCTTTTGTTGATTTTGATTGCTTCCATTGTCCTCATGTGTAGGTCGCTTTGGATAAAAGCGTCTGCTAAATGAAAGATTATTTATTTATTATTTAAAACAGGGTTATGGAAACATAGCTAGTGATTAATTCCTCTGCGTGCCATACTGTAGGTTGCCGACCCCTGCTCTAAAATATTCAATTGTCTAGATATTACTCTTGTGTAAACTAAACTTTCTTTTCAGTGAATTGGTTAGTACAAAAATTGTCTTCATTACAGTAAATGAATCTGAAAGAAAAAAATCTTTATCCAGTAATCACAAAGAACTAGCAAGAATAGAAAGAAGTCACGCAAATTCTTTGTTCGGTTATAGCACTTGCATATCATTGCTCTTTTGTTGATTTTGATTGCTTCCATTGTCCTCATGTGTAGGTCGCTTTGGATAAAAGCGTCTGCTAAATGAAAGATTATTTATTTATTATTTAAAACAGGGTGATGGAAACATAGCTAGTGATTAATTCCTCTGCGTGCCATACTGTAGGTTGCCGACCCCTGCTCTAAAATATTCAATTGTCTAGATATTACTCTTGTGTAAACTAAACTTTCTTTTCAGTGAATTGGTTAGTACAAAAATTGTCTTCATTACAGTAAATGAATCTGAAAGAAAAAAAATCTTTATCCAGTAATCACAAAGAACTAGCAAGAATAGAAAGAAGTCACGCAAATTCTTTGTTCAAGATGTTGGAAACCTGTTATTCATCAGAAATGGAAACACTATCAGATAAAATTGCTGAAGTAGCTCAGGACATACTTGTCACAATCCAGTGTGTCCCTTTGTTTGTTTACTCTGAGTATTTTTTTCCTCTCAGATCAAGTTGATTTTCCAGCCAGAAAACCCAGAGGCGTTTCAGAGCATGGTGCGAGTAGCGGCAAAACCTCACAGCCAAGCTCAGAGACCAAGCAGCCCAAGCCTGCTCCCAACATTTCCATCCTTCTTCCACCTGAATCTCATGACTCTGCTGTTAAAACCCAACAACAATCCAGTGGCACAGCAACACATGAAACCCCTGCTCTAGAAAACAAGAGTGCTACGAAAACCGTGTCAGGCTTTTACACATGACATCCATCTACAAACCCCCAACCAGGGCAAAAACACGGCTATCAAAGCACACACGCCAAGCTCATGGACAACTGATGCATACGTTTACTGGACCCAGTGAACTAAAACTCACAGAGCATGTTACAGGCCTCACCTCATTACTTTTAGTGACAAAAATGTGTCATAATTAGCTGTACCTTTATTTGCATTTATAGGAACATCTCACTGAATGTTTGATACCAAAACACAGTCCACCAAAAGATATCACGTTGTTGTAAATACAATCATATCGTAGGCTTATTTAGCTTTTCCATTCACCTTGAATGGTTCAGAAGAATGTTACATTTATCTTGTATATTTGAATGTTCAAATGGAAAAGCTCGCATAGAATTACTTGTCATAGTATGACATGTTGCTGCAGCTGGTTTTAAATCTTTTGGAATATTTCATGAATGCAGCACTTTCTGGGGCCTCATCAAACAAGGTCCAAAGTGATATTTCTTGTTTAGAATCATATTTTTAATGCGTAGATTTGATTACGATCAGACCGTGCACTTCTTTCCCTCCACTGCAGCTGACATCTGCCTTATGTTAACAAGTACTTTTCCATCAAACTGAAATTAAACATGAATGTTGTGTAAATTGGGAATGAACTTTGGCTGTTGGTATTTTTAAGTTCATGAAAAAAACAATGCATTAGAAAACTGTAAGTGGTTGAATAGTTCTTTAGTAGCCACCTTTTCAATTCTCAAGCCCCAAAATAATTTGTGTTCTAATCTAATCACATAATTTTCCACTTTTCTGCAGAGTGTAGCTCCAAGCTTCTCCAACACACCAGCCTGTAACTTTGTATTAATCCTGAAGACCTTGATTAGCTGGTTTGGATGAGTTTGATCAGGGTTAAAGCTAAACTATATATAATATGGCCCTGCAGGAACAGAATTGGACAGCCAGGAAATGTTTGGGAAGCACTGGATCAGACATCAGTAGTGTCTAGGGCTGCATTTACACTTCCGGTCTTGATGCCCACTTCTGATTGTTAACTATATCCAAAGTTTAACAACCAGCTTACATCATCTTTTAAAATAGACCCATAACCATTATCTGCATTTACACCTTACACTTGCAACACCTTACGAAACAACCCAAAGTAGGCGAACTGACCCAGAAACAGGGTTGCCAGGTCTGCGAAACAAAACCAGCCCAATCACATTTTTCTGTGGTGCCCTCCATCGGGGGTCCACTCGCTTTAACCCGCGGACTACAAAACAACCCGCAGCAAGAGTGTAAAAGTAGCCCAGTTTCGCTGGAAAACCGTGGACTTGACAACATTGAGTTGACGTCATTTGCCACCGTTGCTTTTTTTTTTAATGACATACAACTGGCACTGGCAGGGGAATATATTATAACATCTGTCTGTTTACGTGGCAGATGCAAATGCACATATCCAATTCATATCAGATTTATTTCCACATATGAATGAGGGCTGAAAACCAGTCTGAGAATATCAGAATCCATCAAGGTCTTCAGGATTACACGAAAGTTACACACAGGTGAGTTTGATCAGGGTTGGTCCTCTGTAGGAAAGTGGCCCTGATCAAACACACTGGAACCAGCATATTAAGATCTTCAGAAGTACTTGATAACAGAACAGACTTCAGTCACCTTAATGATGGATGTAGATCATGCGGGGGACGTGTCCCCCCACTTTTAATATCACATAAATTCGGCCCCCACACTTTTTCGGACAAGTGTGTTAGCATAGAGGTTTTCAAGGGCCAGTGTGAATAAATATAGATTTAAATTCAAAGAGACAGGATAGTCTGTGCATGATCTGATGTTTTATTCGCACCCAGAATGAGGCGATATACAGCACAGAGCGCTAAACACTCATGCAGTGTATGTTTCATTCATACTCGAAGCCGGAGGGTGCTCTCTGCAGAACGTCGTACCAGGAAATCCCTAATATGGACAAAAGCATCCAGCTATGGCTGTGTAAACTGAATAAAAAACAGAATGGTTTCGGAATCATCAAGACATTAAACACACGATTGTGACAATATATGGTATATTTGTGTTTTTCAAGTCATCTCCAGTCAAGATAAGTCACCTTTATTTATATAGCGCTTTTAACAATACAGATTTTGTCAAAGCAACTGTACAGCATTAATTAGGAGAATAGTGTGTCAATAATGCAAAATGACAATAGTAAACACTCAATTTTCAGTTAAAGACAGTTCATCATTGAATTCAGTGATGTCAACATCCAGCTCAGTTCAGTTTAAATAATATCTTTGCAATTATGTCAACGATATCGCTGGAAATGAAGTGTCCCCAACTAAGCAAGCAAGAGGCGACAGCGGCAAGGAACCAAAACTCCATCGGTGACAGAATGGAGAAAAAACCTTGGGAGAAACCAGGCTCAGTCGGGGGGCCAGTTCTCCTCTGGCAGACGAAACCAGCAGTTCAAGTCCAGGCTGCAGCAAAGTCAGATTGTGCAGAGGACTCATCTGGTTCCTGTGGTCTTGTCCCGGTGGAGGTCTTTACAGGGGATCTGTCTCTGGGGCTCATCTAGTTGTCCTGGTCTCTGCTGTCTTTCAGGGCTGTAGAGGTCATCTCTAGGTGCTGATCCACCATCTGGTACACTGAATACGTACTGGATCCGGGTGACTGCAGTGACCATCTGATCTGGATACAGACTGGATCTGGTGGCTACGGTGACCTCGGAATAAGAGAGAAACAGACTAATATTAGCGTAGATGCCATTCTTCTAACGATGTAGCAAGTACATCGGGTGTTATGGGAAGTGTTCCCGGTTCCGGTTGACCTAATTAATGCAGCCTAACAATCCTTTAACGGATTTGAATATTAGAAGCGTATTAGTGTGTTATGTGTAAGCCAGGTTAAAGAGATGGGATCTAGATTTAAACTGAGACCAGGTAATATATATGAACATATATATGAACAATGCAGTGCTAGTTGACATAGCATTTATTACAGTATAGAAACTTTTCTTCCTTATATGATAAAAATGAAAAACAAAAAGTGTTTGTAGTATATAAAGAAATCATTATTATTGGATATTGTCCAGCAGTGTATTTGATTTCATAGCCAATTAAAAGCTAGAAATAAGAGAAAAATTTAAGTTGGCTATATACACTACCAAAAGGTTTTAAACAGTAAGATTTTTAAGTCTCTTCTGCTCACCAAGCCAGTGTTTATTTGATCCAAAGTACAGCAAAACAGTACAATTTAGATTATTTTTTTTACTATTTAAAATAACTGTTTTCTGTTTTAATATATTTTAAACTATTTGATTTCATAGCCAATTAAAAGCTAGAAATAAGAGAAAAATTAAAGTTGGCTATATACACTACCAAAAGGTTTTAAACAGTAAGATTTTTAAGATTTCCAGTGTTTATTTGATCCAAAGTACAGCAAAACAGTACAATTTAGATTATTTTTTTTACTATTTAAAATAACTGTTTTCTGTTTTAATATATTTTAAACTGTAATTTATTCCTGTGATTTCAAAGCTATATTTTTAGCATCATTACTCCAGTCACATGATCCTTCAGAAATCATTCTAATATTCTGATTTGCCGCTCAAAAACCATCTATTATTATTATGTTGAAAAGAGTAGACTTTTTTCAGGTTTCTTTGATGAATAGAAAGTTCAGAAGAACAGCATTTAAAATCTTTTGTAACATTATAAATGTCTTTATCATCATTTTTGAATAATTTAAAGCATCCTTGCTAAATAAAAGTATTAATTTCTATAATTTCTTCCCCCCCAGCCCACCTCAGTTCGAGCATTGGTTTGAAGTCTTTTTGTAGCACCCGTGGAAATGAGCTGAGTCCCCTAGTGGCCCCCTGTTTGAGAAGCACTGCTGCACGTAAGAGCGTCCGACCCTCGCCGCGTCACGTGACTGCACCGCGGCTCGCGTCACGTGACTGGCGTCGACGGCAGCCTCCTCTGACAGATCTCGTCTGTGGTTGTCTGGAGCCCAGGTGTGCAGTCGCTCTGAACAGGTTTGGTTTTACGCTCTTCTCCTCGTTGCATCGATCAGAGCGCTGTGGGTGAGCTCGCGCGGCTGGGATGGTGCTGCTGTAAAGCGCGAAATGGAGGCAGTGACAGCCCAGAATAAAGACCGTGTTTGGAGGACGCTTGTCTGGTTTACGGGATGTTTGCTAGCACTCGTATTTGACGACGAAGCCGTGTATGAACGCGTTTGTGTGGTACATCAGGTTCTCGGCACAGTATTGCAGTCACTGATAATATTATATCTGTCGAGCTTCATCATCATCATCATCAGGATGAAACTGGCAGATTCCTCGCATAGCGAGACTCTAAGTCTAAACCCTCAAAATGATCGTTGATCATCATTAGTAATTATGATTTTACATCATTCACAATGTCCAGAGTGTTAAATTGCGCATTTGATTTCTGCTGAAATGCTACAGTGATCTTTGGTTCATTTACAGTAAAGCACTGGCCTGGTTTCATCTATCTATCTATCTATCTATCTATCTATCTATCTATCTATCTATCTATCTATCTATCTATCTATATATCTGTCTGTCTATTTATCTATCTGTCTGTGTCTATCTATCTATCTATCTATCTGTCTGTCTGTCTGTCTGTGTCTGTCTATCTGTCTGTATCTATCTATCTATCTATCTATCTATCTATCTATCTATCTATCTATCTATCGACATCGTCCGTCTGTCTGTGTCTGTCTGTCTGTCTGTCTGTCTGTCTGTCTGTGTCTATCTATCTATCTATCTATCTATATCGTCCGTTTGTCTGTCTGTATCGTCCATCTGTCTGTCTCTATCTATCTATCTATCTATCTATCTATCTATCTATCTATCTATCTATCTATCTATCTATCTATCTATCTATATCGTCTGTCTGTGTCTGTCTGTCTGTCTGTATCATCTGTCTGTCTGTCTATCTGTCTGTCTGTCTGTATCATCTATCTGTCTGTATCTATCTATATCGTCTGTCTGTCTGTATCATCT